TGGTTGCAGTAGGATGTCGAGTCGGTCTTGCAGGCTCTGTGTGCCAAGTGTGGTCTGTATTGGTAATGTTCTAACCCAGCATCCTCTGGCCTTTTCCTTTCCTCTCTTTGTCATCTCGGAATCTTGAGGCTGGCAATTCAGAGACCATATGCAAATTTCCTTCTCATGTCCCCGTTTCTGTCATGAACTCTTTTCTCCACCAGGGGCTCCTCTTGAAGCTGGCCAATCAGAGACCATATGCAAATAGCACCGCTGCCCAGCCAATCGGAATCTTGGAATTTCAGGCTGGCCAATCAGAGACCGCAGTGGTAGCCAATCAGAAAGCTAGCACATACACCGCCACACTTTTGTCCTCCTCCACATACAAACTTTCACCTTTATTATATACTAGCTTGGGGACCCGGCGTTGCCCGGGTTATTAGAAAAGGGAGTAATGTTGGTTCTGTATGCCAAGTTTGGTCTTTATTAGTCTTTGGATAACGGCTGCATTATTTTCAGGAAGTGAGTGAAGGTACTTGAAGTCCCATCATCCATGGGCCATCCTCCTACAAACAGCAGCAGGATATAGAGTGGGTCATGGGGGCTCTGTGTGCCAAGTTTGGTCTTTATCAGTCATTAGATGAGGGTGGCAGTGGTGTCAGTAAGTGAGTGAAGGTAGTGCAAGTCCCATCATCCAAAGTCCATCCCCTTTCAAACTGCAGCAGGATGTAGAGTGGATCATGGGGGCTCGGTGTGCCAAGTGTGTTCTTGATTGGTCATTAGAAGAGGGTTGCAGCAATCTTTGGAAGGGAGTGGAGGTACTTGAAGTCTCATCATCCATGATCTGTCCTCCTCCAAACTGCTCCAGGATGTAGAGTGGGTCATTGAAGCTTCATGTGCCAAGTTTAGTCTTGATGAGTCATTGGCAAGGGTCTCATTGGTCTCAGGAAGTGAGTGAAGTGACATTAGATGAGGGTTGCAGCAGTCTTGGGAAGAGAGTGGAGGTACTTGAAGTCCTATCATCCATGGTCTG